ATGGAAGGACAGATAAGGTGCTTCTCAGATAAGATCAAATTCAAGGAGTTCATCATCACCAAGCCCTTATTATATGAAATGCTAAAGGGACTTACCTAAGAAAAAGAAGTTAAAAAAACATGAACAGTGAAAGGACAACAAACACAGTTATTAACAACCACACCTAAAACGAAAGCAAACTAAAAGGACAGCTAGATCAGGAGTGGAAACATAGAAATGAAGATCTCAAGGAGGGTTAGCAACAGGGGAGTGGGAGGAGGAGAAGGGGGGAGAAGGTACAGAAAATAAGTAGCATAGACAGTAGATAGAAAATAGAAGGGGGGCAAGAATAGCATGGGAAATATAGAATCTAAAGGACTTGAGACACATGGTCATAAACTAAAGGGGGGGTAATGGTAGGGATGGGGGGGTTGGGTGGAGGGGAATGAAAGGGGGAATAGAACAACTGTAACAGCATAATCAATAAAAAAAATTAAAAAAAAAAAAGGAAAACCAAGAAGCTGACAGGATGGATAAATCTGTTCCTTCCAAGGGTCACACAGAAGGATGGCCCTGGATGAAGCTGTAGGTTAGAGGCCACCACTGGGTGGCACATCTCTTCCCAGGGGCTCTGGGGCTCTGCTCGGAGCACTGGGCTCCTGTAAGTTCCCATCCCTTGGTAAAGCAAAGGGGTGAGAAAATAATTCAGTTCCTATCCCTTCCCTAAGAATTTGCTGGATCAAAAACTGTGCCTGAGGTCTAATCTCTACCTGTGTGTGGAGAAGGCAGGGGCAGCATTTGAGAAGTCCTTGGAAAGAGCCCCCAGAAGCCAGGGGGCAGGAACCCAGAGGAGGAAGGGGGCTCTCAGTGGCCTTGGGTAGGAGTGGGGTGGGGGCTGGACATGGAAAAAGCTGAGGAAACAACTTCATGAGGCACAGAATGTGAGTAGAGTGTTCCCAGACCAGAGGAACTAGACGGCACAGCCTGGTTAAGGAGGGGTGGATGACAGTGGGCCATTCTGAGGAGGTGGAAGGTGAGAAAGGTTTTAACCAGGGGAGTGACTCGGCCAGAGCTGTGCTCTAGAAATACTTGTCTGGTGGCTGTGTGGGTGGCCGACAGGGAGGCGGTCCTGTGCCCGCCATGTTCTCGGGTGTGCACACAGGGTGTGGGCACACTGGCTGCTCCAGGTGTGGGGACATGAGAAAACGGACAGATGGAAGCTCTGACTCACTGAGTGGCTACTAAGTGTTGCTGTTTAAACTCATTATTTCTTTTAATCCTTAGAACAATCCCACAAAAATCTATTTCTCCTAGTTTACAGATGAGAAGAACTAGGTTCAGAGAGGTCAAGTAACTTACTCAAGGTCACACAGTATCTTATACAACCAGCGTGGAATCTAGTTCATCTGCCTCAGAAGCCCAGATGCCACACCACAGTGTTGGGGATTTAAAGAACCCCAGGGGTGTAGAGTGGAGGCCTTATCATCTCTGACTCAGATTGCTGGTTTCCATTTTCAGATTCGGGTAGAGCCCTTCTCTTCCGGTCTACTTCACACCTCAGCAAATGCAAATCAGAACATGAATACTGATATCAAAACAGGACCCAAAGTTGGAATTTCTGTGATTGAGTCTGGAGACTGGGAGCTGACAGCTGTGTGGTAAGGTGTGAAAATGTCTGTTCAACATGAATCTACCTTGATGTCCCTGCCCCACACAGGCGTACTCACTGCCTTCAACACACTAGGGGACATCTGGCCAGAGATGCTAACCCAACAAAGAATTTGCTCCTTTTAGTTACAGAAACCAAATCAACAAGCTTGATGAATCTTTTAACGATCAAAGATTTAGAAATTTTAAAAGGGGCTGTGAAATGGGACCATTTGATGAGATCATTTTGACACTGGAAAAAAAAAAGATAATTTTTCAGGGATTCCCCAATAGGCCAAAAGAAAAACAAGACACCCTTAAGTGAATCTCTTAATGCTCCCTGCAGGTGAGGAGGAGCGTGTGTGCAGCCACTGCTTTTAAAACAGGGCATTCTGCTGCCAGCCTTGCATGGCACTATGGCTGGACAGTCCGCTGACAGTCCCCAGCCCACCAGGCAGTCGTCCTCCGCAGGCCAGGTCTGGCAGGTGATGCTCAGGAGGGCAGCGCTCTACGCTCCCATTAGAAAGTGATGCCATGGCAGCATCTTTGCCATTTCTCTGCTGCCTGATTTTGAGCAAGTCAGACTTCAAAGGAGGCCAAGCTGTAGAAGAACTTGACCACCTTGCTCCATTTATCCAGAGAAATATGTTACCCATCCTTCTTTTTTGTTGTTGGGCTGAAGCAGAGCAGGTATTTTGTTGTTGGAATATACACTACAGTATTCCAACTATGCTGCAGCTATACACTATGCTGCACTATAGTATTATGACAATTATTTGCCAGTGGTCACATGGGTACCCTGAAAGCTCTTGCTTCAGATGCTTTGCAAATCGGCAGCACAAATGAACAAGGGTGGAGAAGGGGCCATGCTCAGTCATATTAGGGATGGACCCTCCACACACCATGGTGACCTCCCTACAGGTCAGCCCCACATTTTCTATTTGCAATTCAAACCCAAGGCGAGGGCACAGAGGGCAAGACTGTGTTCTTGATTATATCTGTGAGGTCACCATTGCAGCTAGAGGAGGCCAGGTGGCAACCCAGTACATTTGAAAATTGGATCTTTGTTGGTAACTGCCTCAATTTCACAGCAGAAATGCAACTTGAGATGTCTGCATTATATGTATTGGGGAAGCCACATAGATTGTTGCCATATAAAGGGGAGGGGGAGGAAGAGAGGGGGATGAGAAAGCCAAGGAAATATTTCTGACTGCAGTGAGAGAGGTCAGATGAAGCCAAATCCTACATTAGCTCAAGAAAGGAAGCTGGCAGCCCTGCAGAAGACTGAGTCCTGCCTGCACTGAGCAGCGCTGGAGTCTCGATTACAGAAGAGCCCCTCCAAGCGCAACTGCAAAGTATCAGGTCTGGAGAGATCCGTAAGACCGAAGGGGGGAAAGTGAAAATTGAAAAGGGTGCACTAATGGATCTGTCAACAGCCCGATGGTGACAAGCCACGTTTCTATAAAATGCCTTCACCATTTGTGTCACCTGAAACGTCCTGACACTCTCTATAGAACATTATCTCCTGAAGTTATTCTTGAAAAGACTGGCAAGGGGAAGGGGAGAAGGGGAGGAAAGAAAATCTGCTTCAGACACTATCAGGGGAAGGAAGGACAGGGAGATGGCACAGAAGAGGAGAGATCTAGATCGTTTAAATGAACCTTTGAACAACAGTATCAAAAACCCTGAGCGTTACCAGTTATTTGCAGAAATGTTACATATCACAAAAAGGGGATTTTCTTAAAGCTCACACATACGAGGAGGGAGGCAATGGCCTGCGGAGAGCAGATCTGGCCAGTGAGGCTCATCTGTCCTCTGTCGGAAACGGGAGCCCTTTCTTTGCTCACTTCAAGTAAGGGGATCTGGTCATTAGGAGGGAAATCTGGCGAGAGAACTCTCCCCTCCCTGCCACTCCATTTTATACCTGCGATCCAATTCAGTTCCATGCAACTGGGGTAGGAGGTAAAAAGGTGTATTTAGGTACTGAAGGATTCCAACTGCCAGTCTCTGGCAGGGTACAGCAGAACGCAGTTAAGGTCTCTCTGGATTACGTTACAAGATTTTTATTTCAGGACTTGAATTTAGCTGCTAAAACTTCACTCTCAGCTGAAACTAAGAAATTAAATGCTTAGTCAGAGCAAATTATTTTGCAATTAAAAGAAAGGAATCAATTCCTTTGACCATTTCAAGTTAATTAGAGGTCCTTTCTGACTTCATAAAATTAAAACTGCTTTCAATTTTTTAAAAACTGCCAACATAGACCAGGGCTCTTATTAGAGTGGCACATTTGTGGTGAGTGGGATAAATGAAGGAAACGATTCCAAACATCTTTCAGCAAACGGACCACTTGTTTCAGGAAGGCAGTACGAAATATTGTAGTGAGCAGAGCAGAGATGCAGACGTGTATGGATCTGGAATCTAATCCTGGCTGGGCTGGGCTCAGACAGTATAACCTGTGGGCAAAGGACTTCCCCTTTGAACCATGGTTTCCCTACACATGAAATGGGAATAATACCTTGCTGGGTGGTTAGGTAGGAAAGCTCCTAGCCTGGACCATCCTGAGTGCTTAATGAAGGGTGGCAGCAATAGCAATGATGATGGCATTCGTACGAAAATGGCCTTTCTGGTGTATTAACTTCCCTGCACAAGGCTAGAGAATCAGATAGGAGGACTTAGTTGGTATGTAGCCTCTTTGATTTTGTACAATTTTAGTGCTGGTGTATTAACTTCCCTGCACAAGGCTAGAGAATCAGATAGGAGGACTTAGTTGGTATGTAACCTCTTTGATTTTGTACAATTTTAGTGCTGGCCCAAGAAGACAATCAAAGCCTCTCCCTGCCCCGCAAGAATCTCAGACATGAACTGTGGGGTTCCTCGGGGTCAAAAACCACCACTGTGGGAAGAACTTGCGTGTCCTCCTGAAACCCTCCCTCTATGCCATGTCTGTGCCCTGTGCATGCCGGAGCCATGGCAGTTGCTTCTCTGGAGATGCTCTGGGTTCTGGTTATGACCAGACCCAGGCCGGCTGTGGGAGGGAGTGGTGCTGAGATGGAGAGACTGAGCCAATTTCTGCAGACCTGGGGGCACCCTGGGACTGGTCGAGAGGACCAGGGACAGACCGACAATAGTAACTCTAAACTTGCTTGCCTTTGTGGGTTTAAGCCAGAGTCTAATGTTACTTGAAGAGGTTTTTTTTGTTGTTTTTTTTGTCTGGGAGTATTTATAACGGTGCGAAAACTCCCGGACAGCTGGCAATGCATTTTGAAGGGCGCTAACCACACTGTATCAACCACCCTCCATTGATCGCATCGCACTTCCGTGGCCGAGCGCTCCAGACACGGCACTTATACATTTTGAATAAGAACTTCAAGTACCTTTTGCTTCAAGCGGTTTTTCACCTCTTTTATTCCCATTTTTGCATGATCTTTTGCCTGCATGAAAAATTAATTTAAGTTAAGATTCCTGTTCTGTTTCCAGCAGGGACTGTGCTTGATTTCAGTCTGTGGTGAATCACCTTCTCTGATTACTATAAAAAAAAGAAAAAATGGGATCATCAAGTCGAAAACATAATGGCTCTGAAAATAAATACAATGTTAAAAGATTTTTAAAAATCCCTTAAAGAGGCCGCAGAGATTTTATTTTCTGCATTTTGATGGCACAGGTTCCTACCGCCCCAGAACTCCTGCTTTCCAAAACCCTTCTTCAGCTCTCTGCAATTATTTATCTCAGCAGCCTGATGACAGCAACCAGTAAGAGTAAGCAGCAGCTTTTCAGGGTGCAAGATTCAGGATGTCTATCACATGTCACCAGGGCGGGGCCTCAGGGCCAATTTCCTGGTTAGGCTGAATGGCCTGAATGGACACATTGCTGGGGTTCTCTAGTGCCATTTCTTAAATCTCATTTCCACAGACACCCTGGCTGTTTGTCATTTTAGACCCGTGTGGTTCTGTTGGCAGCCACCTAACCCATTAAAGCAACTACAATTTAAGCAAAGAAAGAATAACATTAAAAATGGAAATAAAACAAAACCACTCAGTTAAGTGGCTCAGAGTGAAATCAGCAGGCAAGAGAAACCATGAGAAACAAATACTTGAGGCTTGTGAGAGGTGGAGCATCGGGAACTGACGGCTCTCCCACTTTCATTCTGCTGCGTGCGTGAGTTTCGCACACAAAGCGTTTTCCTGGAAGGGCAGTGATGAGAGAGGGTGAAGAATTTGGAACAAAAATTAGGGGTATCTCCCACCATAAACATTCCTCAGTAACCTGCAAGGGAGCTGCTTTATTTTGACATAATGGGGACACATGGGAAGGGTTCACTAGAACACCCGAGAGACCACGCCTCCAGGCCTCAGAAGCATGGGCACAGGGCAGCAAGCATTTTAGCCACCCAGCCTGCATTCGAAAAGCGAAAACCAGTAGCCTCCCATTTCTCTCTTATAGCAACTGGAGGCAGAAACCCTTTAAACTAAAAATGTCACTGATCTGGCCATTAGATATCAACGCTGGACTAGGGTAAGGGCACTGAGAGCCTTGGGAAACAGCACAGTGGCCTGTGAGTCACCTCTGTGTGCAGGACCAGGTCTATCTGAGAGTCTCAGCATGCTAAAGAACAGAGCTGTTTGGGTCCTGAGACTAACACCAGTACTTACAAACTTATAGACAGTCTTCATGGCTGGGTTTGCTTTCGTCTTCACGGTATTCAGAATTGCTCCACTTCCTTTCTATAATAAAAACGTCAATTAGCAATTTGGACTGAAGATGTAGTAGGCCAACACCAACAAAGACCTCGTCTCTTTAATCAAGTTAAGCAACACTTCAAGAGTGTGTAATTTAATTAGAGAAATAGGCCTGGATGGTAACTGGTCCCAGGCAATTAGTGATGGCCATGGCAGAATCACTGTGGGTGCAGGGGGCAGGCTGGCTGGAGACGGGGATGGTGATAATGAGCTGAGGGGACTCTAGGCTCAGTACTTTGCTTGGCACCTGTCCACTGGTCAGAAGGAAAGCTCATATAGGCTCTCTGAGGCAAAGGTTTCCCCACAATCACCTTTGACTTCTTGAGATAGTCTAGTCACTGTGGACAGCATTAAGATACATTTCACAACAATGGACTCTATGGCTAATACCGAGTGGGGGCAGAAAACTGGGGGCCTGATAAGCCAGGATTATCTGACTACTCTGGAAATAGGCTACCCTCAGCCACATACCTTCCTCTGCTCACCCTGTGTTATTTTCTAATCACTCTGGTAGGCTGCCTTCCTTAACATCTATATCTTGAGAAAGAAAAGGAATGAATAGCCATAAATGTTAATCATGGCTTTAGTATAAATCCAACATGCTGATTTCTTGGTTCAGTTTCTTCAGGAGAGAAAGCAGGGGAAGAGGAGGAGGAGGGGAGGGGAGGGAAGGCTTTCCCAGCACACGTGGGAGGCGGTGAATGGGTATGAGGCATATGGGTCCAGGCACTATGAGGGCTCATCGAGGGGATGCCCCACACCAGGCTCTGAGAGTATTAAGCACAGGACAGCCGGTCTGTGCCTTCAAAGACTTCAGTGCAGGGGGCACACCAGGGTAACTACAACCTAAGGCAATGAGAGATGTACTAGCTGGGTGCATAGGAGCGTGGAGGTGGCTCATTGTTTGCAAGGTTGCAGATAGCTTTAGAAGGTGAAACATTTGGCCTGGTCCACAAAGGATGAGCAGGAGTTCATGTGGGGGACAGGAAGGATAAGAACATCCTGAGGATAGGAAATAGTACAACAAAAGTGCAGATGCTGAAAGCCATGGTGCATCTGTGAGTACCGAGCAGTCAGTGGGTCACGGGAGGGATGGCAAGAGAGGCCAAGGCCAGATGGGGTCAGCTCACAAAGGGCCAGGATCGGGAGCCTATACTCTAGGATTTTAAATCAAGCGCATCATATAATCAGATCTGTGGTGCTTTCGAAAGTTAATTTCAACTAATTCAAGCAGAGAGACTGAATCCAGTAGATATATGAAAGGATAAGATATAGTAATGGAGTTACTGGGATTAACATTTAGTAAAACTTTTGGTGACTGTCCATATTAGATATTTTGAGCTTTAATTAAAAACACTATAACTTAACCTAGAAAGCATTCTAGTTGCAGGAAAATATGAAATTTTCACCTACTCATTTATTCCATACTGTTTTCCAGAATTACTCAGTATTCAATTTCAATGGTCCTTTGGAATAGTAAACTCTCTTTATCAATCAATCAACAAGTCCTTATTGCTTGTCCATGATTTGCCAAGTGCCCTGTTTGGCCATACCAGGAGAACAAAAGAAGTCTTTCATCGAGGAATTGCTTTCTCTTGGCCAACTGCAGCCACTTCCAAGGGACGCCGCCTTGGCAGCAGCACACTTGGCCTACAGCAGGGGGAGAACACTTATCACATTATGTTGGAGTTGCCTGTTTACGTGCCTGCCTCCTGAACAAGCTGGGGGGCTTCCCCGGAGCAGGCCCTGTGTCTGCACCCCACTGTATCCTGGCTCCGGTACGGCGCCAGGCACACAGGCTTTCAGTGCCCACTCACTGATAAAGCTGCGTGAGAAAGAAAGGTAAGAATCTGAATTCTTTTGTGGCTTCTGAAGCCCTGAGCACCTGGCTTCTAACACCACAAGGAGCTGTTTCCAACAACAGTGAGGGGAGGAAAACGTCTCCCAGTGATGAGTTCTCCGTCTTCCCAGGAGCCTTGGCTGTGAAAAACACTGCAGAGCAGCAAGAGGGACATATTTTTGGTTTTCCCATGAAAATTTCCCAATTGCACTGGCCCTAGAAACAGACACGCAAAAATGTTCTGAGAATGATGACACCCATCTGACACGCCTTGGCCACTGTCCTGGGATGAGGAAGCTTCTCCTGGCGCTCCTCACCCTCACTGAGAGATGGCTTTGGACAGTCTCGCCCTGCCAGTCTCCACCTGGCTTTACAAACAAAAGCTGTCTTCAGCTGACAGAAAGGAGTGCCCCAGGCTGAATGGCAGCCCTGTGGGTGGCCAGGAAGCACAGGGCTGCCAGGAAGCTCAGGAGGGGCCCAGGTGGTGCCCAGGTGGCTCGGAGGGGGTGCACACTTACCCGGACTGTGGAGAGCCACTGGTGGTACAGTTTATCACTGCCTGGGGGGAGAGGAGGCAGAGAAGCTGTCATTCAAAGCAGTTATGTGTGCTCAGGACTTCCCCAGTTGCTTTCAGCATGCAGGCCTTCAAAATCTGGAGGACATGGAGGCTCCCACACCCCCAGCCCTGAAGGAGGCAGCAGCCAGTTGCCGCCACAGGTTTTCTTTCCCAAACAGGGATCTGATAACATGGTGCCTGGAGTATAAACCATGGTCTTTCTCATTGCATACTGGAGAGGGGCAGACCCCTGAGTTCCGTGCCTTGTCCCAGCACCGCCCACCCTGTGCTACTGTCCTATAGGACCTTCTGTTCCAGCCTTGAGAAACTGCCCAGGGCTCCCTGTCTATGTACTCTCATGGTCCTCTATTCCTCGTAAACACTCTTCTCCTTGCCTGGTCACTATTCCCTACTCTGTTCCCTGCTCTTCCCGCTCAGTTCACACAACCACCAGCTCAGATGTCATTTCCACTGTAAGCTTCCTTCAGCTGAACAGCCCTCTACAACAGGGAACACATTCAGAAGTCTGTTTTCTCTAGAGTCCTGTGAGCCACCCCAGGGCAGGAAACACAGTGTATGCACACAGCTGGACACACTTTCAGCACTCAACGCTCTTGAGTAGTGACCAGGAAAGAAAAAGGAGGCATTATTGGGGAACTTGTTCATTGTGTCTGGTGGGATAAGGAGGTCTTATCAGTAAACAGCTTTTCTATACATTCTGAATGACTTGACTTAGTTTAGCAATATGCAAAGCCCATCTTCTTGGATCAAATATTCAGCTGTTAGAACTACTCAGACCTGCCTCATATGTGAAGCTCTCCTGTTACACAGTGAGAACTCAGAGCTTCATTCTAATTGCACAAAAACCTGGTTCCACTCCTTTTCCTGCACTGGTTTGATGTGCCTTTGTCTTTAGTTATGCAACTCTTTCACCTACCAGTCCAAAAGCTCCCTGAGGGCAGAACTGGGTCCTCCATTTCTTATCCTACAGGGCTCTGCACACGGCAGGTGCTCAAGAAGTACTCCCGACAATCCACTGTGCCCAGGGACTGCACACTGCTTTCACTGAGTATGCCCTCCCTGCAGCACGGACCAGATGGGCCTGCAAAAGGGGTTTTGCAGGCAACAGTTTGCCCAACTCTATGAGTGTATGGGTGGTCAGCTGGGTCATTAGCACAGTCCACCCCAGACACATGTCCAGCCATAACAGGAGGCCAGCAGTATGATTATTATTATCTTGCTCTTAGTTTTTACTTTGTTCTCAAAGACTGAGGCTTGGGGTCTTGGAGAGAATGCTAAAAAGGGATTCAGGAGGCAGCGTCAGCCACTAATACCTCTCAGGGCCTCAGATGCCCCCTCTGAGACATGAGAGGATGATCCCTCCAGTTCTGAAGGCACATAGAGACCAGGCACTCTGCACTGCTTTTCAGGTTTTAAAGACACATTTGCTGAGCAGTGAGCCTGTGCCAGGGTCTGTCCCGGGGGAATGACTGCGCAAACCTCTCCTCGTGGACTCTGATTTAATTGTAACAGGAATCCTATGGGGAAGGCACTGTGCTCTCAGCGCAAAGATAGAAACATTTCAGCTGAAAGAGCGAGCTGAAATGACTGAGTTCTCACCGCTGGCAAGGAGGAGGAGGCAGTCCTGACCTGAACCTAGGTCTCCTGATCTGATACCTCGTGCGCTTTCCACTGCACCAAGCTGGCTGCTATGTTTTTAACTAGACTCCCCCCTCCCTACCCTGGGGAAGCAATTGACCCCAGCACAGAGGATTTCAGATGGGCCAACATGCATCTCCTTAGAAAATGAAAAGGAATTCCTCAAACATTGCAGGGGCAGGGTTGAAATCACTTTCTCTGTAACCCCGGTGAAGGAAACAAGCAGTCACTGCCACTCCTTGCCAAACACACCCTGATCCCACACAACAGCCCCCAGCACAGAAAGGAAAATGAAACACTTCTTACCAGCATACTCGCCCATGTTGATCTCCTCTTCAAAAACATCACTGAAACCTTCACCAGAATTGAGAAGGTCTAATCTACCATCAATAAACTGTGGAGAGAAAGAACAAAAACATAACAGTGGGCCCTGGCTGGTGTAGCTCAGTGGATTGAGCGCAGGCCTGCAAACCAAAGCATCGTCGGTTTGATCCCCGGTCAGGGCACATGCCTAGGTTGCAGGCCATATCCCCAGAATGGGATGTGCTAGAGGCAACCACATATTGATGTTTCACCCCCTCTCTTTCTCTCTCTCTTCCCCATCTCTCTAAAATAAATAAATAAAATCTTAAAAAAATAACAGTGTGCACAAATAAACAAGACAGAACCATTCAGCTGGCACCTCCATGTGTGACCAAAGAACCACATTTGCCAAGACAGGAAAGGGCCCTTGGGACTGTGAGTTTCTGAAACTGGGCTGCATGGTTATAACAGCTTGTAAAACCTCACGGAATATCTGCAAGGGTTTGTCTGGGTGCCGAGCACCCTCCTCACCAAGTCTCCTGCCTGCAGCCTCCAGGCGCAGTGAGGCCAGCAGCAGAAAGCCCCACCAAGGATCCCAACTCTGGCCACACTAGGGAGGCTAGGCACCTGTTTGAAGAGCTGCAGCTGTGTGGCATTCTGCAGAAACTGCCTCATGGCTCCAGAGCGATAGTGGGACACGAAGGCTTCCTCACAGAAGGTGATTGGCTCCCCCTGGGAAAGGGAGAAGGGGAGAAGATGGTTAGAGGAATGGAGTATAAGGGGTTAGTTCTTAAACTCGACTAGGCAGTGCTTCTACATCAGCTAATTAGATTAATTACATCCTCCTCTACCTGGTGAAGTGGCTATTGATGGCATTTTAGTCTCTGGATAAGGAAGGTGTGTCAGAGAGTAAGTCATTCCTCAGAGTCAGAGCTGGTCCAAGGCAGAGTGGGAACCAAAGGCTGGACGCCACCCCCGCCCCATTCCATCTCCCGACAGCAAGTCAGCGGATGGGCCCTCCAATGGGAGAACAGATATCTGCTCTTCAGATAGCACCTGAAGCAGAAGGGGCCCTGCTACACGACAGGGCCCGCTGCTCTGGTGGGTGCTGCGGGTGGTAGCTGGGCTCTCTCTGCTTGGTCTTCCCTTCCCTACTCCCTGCACTTAAGCAGGCCCTAAGGCACCAACTGTGGAACAGGATTTGAAAAACATTTACCTAGTGATCTTAACCAATAGCAAATGAGAATTTTAGGAGAATTATTTATACAAAAAGCAGAAATGATCAAAAATAAAATTTACCATCCAATCAATCTTCTGCTTCTGCTCAAAAGGAAGTTCGCGTTTACCAAACTGCATTTTATGAGTCAAAAAAATGACACCCTAAGCTTCAAAAACAAACCATCTTGTAGTCAACACCTCCATCCTTCTTTGAAGGCATCGGAGTACTCATCTACAGACAAGTCTTTAATTTTAACGGTGTATTCTTAATTCTGAAAGATCAGACTTTTATATCTTGAACTGAATTAAAGGTAGCCCTCGCTTTGCAGACTTGGTGGCAAATAGAGACGTTTGAAGCTCCACTTTCATCCTGTTTTAATGAGTTACATAAGTGTTAAATTTACTGTCTAGATGCTATAAATTACAAGAGTTCCTCCTGCTTAAATTTAGCCAATATTAGCCCAGCAACTGGGCAGACTTATTGCACAAGGGCAGCAAGATGACCCGAAAAAGTGAGGGTGAGGGGGAATAATTATTTTATATTGTTATACCCCCGATTTTATAAAGGATACAAGGCAGCTTATGTGAGCACACAGAACAAAGAAAAAAGCAGAGCTGGAATAGGTGTAAATATAGACAACATAATTATTTGGGGAAAAGAGTACCTAGACACTGTTACAAAATTAGCTTCCTGGTTGTTGAAGGAAGAAGGGAAAAATGCAGATTTTACATGGTCAATGAGGGGAAAAAAGTATACCAATTCCTTAAGGAAAATACAGAGTTCCCATGCCACTTTAAATTGTCTAAGAGGGAAAAAAAAGCACCAGTTTCTGAGAGAAAAGACAGAGTTTTCAAGCCATTTATTACCTGGCATAACTTTACACCTTCCTTGCTAGAGATCAGCTAGTGATAACCAACAGAAGCCCAGCAGAATGCCATTCCCATGGCTTGAAGTTTGGCTTCTCACCCTTGGGACCAGAGCAGGACAATTAGGTCTCCAGGTGATCTCCATGAGCACAGCGAAACTCCACACTGAATGACTCCTAACAAGTACCAGCAGCTCAGACATCTTTTGTGAGTTCCAAACCCGTGTCACCACCCCACCTGGATGGCCTACGAGCACTTCAAACTCAAAATGGCCTAATATCCCCATTTGAGTGCACCCCACAATTTTTAATTTTTCTTTTAATTGATGAGCGAGACAGAGAGACACTGATTTGTTTTTCCACCTGTTTCTGCATTCACTGGTTGATGCTTGTATGTGCCCTGACCAGTGATCAAACCCACAACCTTGGTGTAGCGGGACGATGCTCTCACCAACTGAGCTACCCAGCCAGGGCACCTTCTTTCTTATCATTATCCACTGCTACCCGCAGTAGACCTGTGAGACTCCCTAGTCCTTCCCATTTTGCCAGTGAAGTGTCTCGGCTCTGTCCCTGCTCTCCATGCCCTGACTCTGGCACAGGCCTGCCTGCGGTGTGGGGCTTTAACTCTATGCCCCTTTTCTGTTTCATTCTTCCCAGTACCTCCAACTCTTCAGGCAAAAGTGATTTCCAAAATGCCAATTGCAGCATGTCACCGTTCTACTCAAGAATTTTGTTGAAAAGATTATATTTGATTACTTGATTACTATTTGCTTCTCCCACTAGATTATATGCTTCATGTGGGCAGGAATAGTACCTGCTTTGCTCAGCCTTGTATACCCAGAGACCTGTGTGTCACATACATGGGGTCCAGGGTGGGAGAGGAAAGAAAAAGCCTTAGCTGTTTGGCTGGGCAAACAAACCTTTCCTAAGTGGACCCCTGCTTTCTTGTTCAGGGTCCTGTGTCCTTTCCACTGTTCTCCCATGTACCTTATGATCCAAATGCACTTCTGAATCACATGTCATGTTTCTACCCCTTTCTTGCTTTTGCCAGCTCTATTCCTTCTACCTGAACGTCCTTCTTGTAGGCACAGACCTTTTCTCTAGCCATTCACACCTGCTTGATGCTCCAAAGGTGCCTTATGCAGCCCTGGGTACTGGGTAATGTGCACCAGTGTCCCCTGCGATCAGGAGCTTGGAAGGGCACAGATCTGCTGGGGTCATCTCTACAGTCCCCGGGATCAGAGCCCAGTCACCAGGGATGTGGGAAAGATGTGGGTTAGAGAACTGAAGAATGAACTTGACTCTGATTCCCATCACAGGAGCCCTATGGTCCTGGTGGCACCGAGACACCACGTGTCTGGCAGGAAAGGAGTTCAAGCACAGTGCCAGGTGAGTGACACCTGCGTCCGGGGAATTTAGAGCTGCTCCGAGGAAATACTCATTCAGTTGTTACCCTTCACTCCTGGAGCTTTGACCAAGCACTGCTGTGAAAGAGAAGTCTGTTGAATGAGGAACCAATGAATTCAAGAGAGTTTGCAACCAGATTTGGAGGTGAGGGTAACCTGAGGCAGGGTTTAGCTGCAGGAGAGCAGAAATAATCTCATCTTTAGGGAGACATGGACATTTTGGGCCTGTTGTTTTCTTACTGGGTCAGATCTCTGTGTCATAAAAACAGACAATGAGACATGGGCACAATGGAAGGCTCAGGGAAAATGTGGTAACGGAGACTTCCTCTGCAAGGAGCTTGAAGAACGGCGTCAGCAGGGTCAGTCGACATGGAGACAAATACTAGCACTCAGTGCAGTGAGGCTGGGATGGATGGGCAGCAATACATCCATAGGAGTCAGAAGAGGAAAAGGCTGATCCTTCTAGAGCAGCCAGTCAGGGACTGTGCCAAGTGGGCACAGGACAGCGGTGCCCGGAAGGGTAAGTAGGAGTCAGGTGAGCAAATCCCATCCATTCCGGGCATTGTTCTGTCCCAATCCTGCAGAAAGGCAGTGACATTGTCTCCTGGGGTCCTGGATAAGGTCTGCTCGGTGACAGGCAAAGAGGCCTCATTTCCCTGGAGCTACTCACCTTCTAAAAAAAACGACAGCAAGTAACTTTCACCTAAACTTTACAGAATAACTGAGGCACAGTAACCTGCTAAGGTCATATAACCCCTGGTGGCAGAACTGGGGTTTTGTGCCCTAGTGGCCTCCAAAGCCTGGCTGCCACCATCATTCACGCAGCCCACAGTGTACTCGGATTTCTCTGACCATGGTTCTGTTTGCCCTCAAATACCTGCTGGAGAGCAAGAGAGATCTTTTGGAAAGTGGAACCCCTCAGGTTCTCCTGCGGGACACTCAGGGCACCAGCCACTCAGAGACAGACAGCCCCTGGGAGTAGGCGAGTCCGTGTGTAGGATCTTTCTATCTACCACAGGACTGACTCCAGGATGCCACACCTTGTATGCTGGTGTATCCAGCCCCTCCCTGCCACTGAAGTGGCCGCCCTACTCCACTCTCCACAGTGGAGAGGAGTAAGGCAAGGTGTCTTGTTAATTCCCTCCTTTGTAAGAAGTGCTGATTTAGTTCTCCTGTTAGGCTGATTAAACCAATTGTCTCCTTAGGTGACCCTCTAGGAGCTGGGGCCCCCGGCTGACAGTGACATTAATTCAGGGAAGCCAGGCCGTGAGCATTCACACTCAAGTTGCATTAGGACAGTTTTCTATCCCCGACCCCGAGGACAGTTAAACACAGCTGCTTAACCCTGTTGAGGACTTTGTTACAAAAAGACAAGATTTACTCTTGGACTATCTTCTTGACATATGAAATCAATGGAAAATTCCACTATGAATGAGTCCATCTTTGTTAACAGATGAAGTTAAAGTTGGTGATGCCAAAGTTTTTATTTTTATTTTTATTTGTATTTCTAGAAATAAATGGATTTTACTCATAGTATTGTACGCATTGGCATAAAAAATAAAATCTCTCATCAGATTCTTTGGCAGCAACTTTCCTTGATCTGCAGATCCATACTTAAACTATTCAATTCTTATTTTCCTTCACAAATTTAATTTTTATCAAAATTTTATGTCCACATTGAGTCTAAGAAAAAAAGTGTCCTCTCTTTATGAACCTTGCTTAAAAAAGAAAGCTAACTTTGGAAGATTCATCCATCCAAACATTTAACAAATGCCTGCTATGTGCCTGTGCTGTGCCGTGCCCTCTGCCAGGGAGTCTTGCCACCCCTGCTTTCTCAGGATGTCCAGGATACATGTGGGGGCAGCTGCCCGAGGATGCTCCACTAGCCTTCCCTGCCTTGGGCTGGGTTAGGCACCCCTGCTCTGGGTCCCGCAGCCCCTGTGTCCATCCCACTGCAGCACTGGCTGCCACTGACTGCACTGCCCAGGTGCCTGGCGGTGCCCCCACTCCCCTGAGTGATACTGATAATCCAGTGAGAGATGGTGAGTGGATGAAGGTATGGATGGTACAAGAATGGCACAGTGTTATTTTCATAGCAGCATTACTCACAACAGCCAAAAGGGGGAGGCAATCCAAGTGTCTACGCCTGAATGGATAAACAAACTACATATACAATGAAATATTCAGCATATGCTACAATATAGATGAACCTTAAGACATTAGGCTAAGTGTAATAAGCCAG